TAATCAAAACAACAGGGGATAAAATACTATCACAACCACTTGCGACATAGGTGGAAGGGGCCTGTTCACCAAAGAAATAGATGAGGCCCTCATAAACAGTGAAATTGACATTGCCGTCCATTCAATGAAAGACGTGCCTACATATTTACCTGACAAGACTATCCTTCCATGCAACCTTCAACGTGAGGATGTCAGGGATGCTTTTATATCCTTGACTGCATCGTCATTAGCTGATTTTGCCTGCTGGAAGTGTTGTTGGCACTGCTTCCCTCAGAAGAGAAAGTCACAGATACTCCATCGATATCCATCCCTAAGTGTAAGTTTGTGCTGTCATTGTTGTTGCACTGGACAGTATGATCCAGTCACACCTTACTCATCTGTTTCTTATTGAATTATTCATGTCTGTTCTTATTAACTCTTGAAGCCGGAAACAGTTCTTGTTTATGCTTCTTATAACTTAATGGGGGATCAAATATTTAGAGGAATTAAGATTCCCTTAACTGGTTGCAGAAGGTGGTCTAATCATTATATTCGAATATGAATTGATTTATTGTGTAATTTTTATCTACTACTCCCCCTTCTCCCCACTATGTATTTCTTGCAATTTAATTTTCCTTTTAGCTGATTACTATTTGTATTATAACAAGTATGCCTTGGGAAATGGGAAGGGGTTGGGGGTCATGGTCTCTTAACATTAAAATTTTAATCTAAAATTGATTATCTGTGCTATGATAACATGTTGAAATGACAGAATCATTCAGTGTAAGTAATATATTCAGTATATAGAAGAGGTTTAGGTTGGATTACAATCGCCTTGTGTTCAACACTTTTATTATAACATAGGAAAACGATTACATTGGTGTTACCAATCAATCATCCCTCAAGGTGCCTCCCAAGTATAGTGATCAACTTGAGAATCTGTCCTAATTTCCGGCAGTCAAAAGAATGCTAACTTGCAACATTATGCTGAGCAGCTACGATTTTTATTCTAATCTCACATTGCTGCTACAAAATTTATCTTGAAATTAACATAAAGGAGACTGAAAAAGACCACTGTGCCCCTTTACTTTGGGTTAAATTTTTTTCTTCTCTTCTTTGAAAGTAATAAAAGGAGATAGAAATTGCTGAATAGTATTGAAATGAAACAACAGACATTGTAACAGAGTGAGGGAATGAGAATCATGTTCCCTCAAACAACCAAATGGGGCTTTTAAGTATGGATGTTAAAGAAATATGGGCTGAGAGAGAGAGAGAGTGCTTTTACATGCTAGTATCATCTATGAGGTGGACTAGAAAGTCTTCAAATTTTGACAAAGGAGTTATATTTTGACTATGACTATTATTATTTGGGGAAACAGCCATGAGTATCGGGTTGCATAAGATGTTCAGGCATAAATTTCATCTTTTGGATTGTGCCTTGTGACTGATGCAGGCTAGATAGCTTATGAAACCAATCATGGTCAAACACTGCATTTCTTTTTAAAAGATTGATAATACAATGTGGTGTGGTTGACGGTAACTTAATTACACAGATATTAGTTAGTTCACCTCTGTTGTCACTGTTTATGGAATGGATGTGACTGAAGAATAATAGACAATGTGAATCTCATTTTTTGACCATGGGGGGTTTGTAAATCTTGCCTTCTGTAGTCAATGTTTGTGTATATTTTCTATTTCTCCTATCTGTATGAATTTTATTGGCCTTCTCAAAGCATTGCCTCATCCTGTTGCTCATGTATTATTATTCTTGGGCTGTTTCTAGAATTATTACTGTTATAACTAAAAATTATTATTATAATTTCAATCTCAGGTGCAGGAAAATTTCCGTGGCAATGTCCAAACAAGATTAAGAAAACTCAGTGAGGGGGTTGTCCAGGCTACATTATTGGCATTAGCTGGACTCAAACGCCTAAATATGACGGAAAATGTGACATCAACCCTATCAATTGATGACATGCTTCCCGCTGTTGCCCAAGGTGCAATTGGAATAGCTTGTAGAAGTGATGATGATAAAATGGTGAGTTTTTCTTTTTAAACAAGATAGAAATTATTATATTGCATATTGTTACCACACTTAGTGGTGCTAGTTGCGGCTTAAAAGTGCTTGAGGACAATTTGAATTATCCTATAAAATGCCATCTGAGGAACTCTACCCTTCTGTTATTACCTGGAGAGTCTTCGCAACATAATATAAATTGTTTAAATTTTTCCCCCCCCTAAAAAAATCACAGCTTGTAAATAAGCCATGTCCTGGCTATGTCTAAATATGATTGATAAAAAGATGAATAGTTATAAGACTTTTGACCATTCGAACTATTGATTTAATTATACATCTTAATGTAATTGAATATTAACAAAAAATATATTTTTTTGGCCAACATTAACAAAATAATAATATTGAGACACGGAATTTATTATAGAGAATAGAGATTTTGTTACCATGATCTAATTCCATTTTACTGAATTCCTTACTGCTGAAGAATAGGTCTCCAATCCACAGTTGAATAGCTAATTCTAATAAATTTGAACTCAACATACAATTTAATGATACCCCCCCGATTTACTGACACGTGTCTTGTTTTATTGCTTCTATGATTGTTCTCTAATTGCAATAAGGCAATGACTATCAGAAGTTTCAATTTTGTATTTTGATACTTAGATTGCATATTTACTAAATTTGTTTAATTCATTTGTCCTATCAGCCTGTTTCTTTTTGTTTTATATTTCCCCACTCAACCTGGGAATATACTCGTAATTCGTTTCAAGTTTCGGAAGATTTGAAATTTTCTTTCGTTGGCTGATTTCTTCTTCAGGCAGAATACCTTGCGTCATTAAATCATGAAGAAACAAGACTGGCAGTTGCATGTGAAAGGGCCTTCCTTGAGACCCTGGATGGGTCTTGCCGTACTCCCATTGCTGGATATGCTTGCAGAAATAAGGATGGTGATTGTTTATTTAGAGGATTAGTTGCTTCTCCTGATGGAACTCGCGGTATGGACAACTTTATTTCCAGATTATTTAAGGCTTCGAAAATGCAATTTTAGTCCTTCTAGTTCTATAAAGCTTTCAATTTGATCTTCCCATTTCATAATCGGTCAATATTGCCTTCCCTTTTTAAGATGATCCGATATTCCTCTTCTATCAGATAATCCATTTAAAATTTTATTTGAAAAATAACTTCATTTACTTACTTGACACCATTAACAAACATTTAACTTTGGCTTTCAGTTAGAGATTGTCAAGTTTGTTGATAAATTTTACACGGAGATCTGATACCGGAGTAAGCACTGGATTGTGTTATTGCTTGCTTTTTTAGATGTAGAAGAACCAAACCAAAACTTGTATGAAACTAGACAAAATGTATTTCACCATTGTCGAATGAGACTTCATCTAGCTTCTAATCCTTCATAATACTATTCGCTAAGCTTGGCCTTTGATTTTCTTAATGTAGTTCTTGAGACGTCAAGGACGGGTCCATATGCTTTTGAAGATATGGTGAAGATGGGCAAGGATGCTGGGCAGGAACTTCTTTCTCGGGCTGGTCCTGGCTTTTTCAGTAGTTAACCCCTTGGATTAAACGATGACCAAATACAGAGATTTCTATGTCAGTTTTAGGTAATTGCATGCCAAGTTAATTCATTCTTTGACCTGTTGTAACTTAAGAAAATGATTGTGTTCAGTTGAGTGCAAAAGTGAACCGCTCAGAAGGTTCCCCCCTTTTTTGGGTTATTCCACGAATAGGTTCAAACTGTTGTACCTTTAGGAGATTGGAAATCCAAATTTTGTAATGTGAATAATTATCTTCTGCCTATATATTATTCAGTCAAGTATCAAACTTGAGATTATTCTAAGCACTGACTGACCTCTGGCTTTGCCAAATATTCTTATATTTGCTGGATATAACTGCTACGGCAGTGGTGAACAAAAAGGCCTTGTCTGGTACCGCTATGCTTTGCAGGTCCAAATTCATTATGATCTAAAAGATGCGGTTAATTTTTATATTTAATTCTGGGAGAGTTTTGATTCATTTAAATGAATCAAGTCTCATACACATTTCCTAGAAATTGGAAATTTCCGAAAGCTGCCCCCTCTTCTCTCCCACGCACTCCCCATGCAGTTCTCATTTGGGTAATATGGGAAATGAGAATTATTAAAAATTAACTGCTATTGGGATGTTATTGCATTAAGCCTTACCTTCTATTGATACTTATTACTTACAAAATAGTATGGAATATATTTTCATGTTTATTCATGAACAGAAAGGGAGAATATATACACAAGAAAGGAGTCGTAGGCATTAATGGCTCATTAATAGGAGATAATATCCTATCGTATAATATCCTATGATATCTGATTTGATCATATATTAATTGTAATATATTTACATATCTCTATACTCCCCCTCAAGTTGGAACATAGATGTCAATTATGCCCAACTTGTTACAAATATAGTTGACCCGAACTCCATTCAAGGCCTTAGTAAGGAGATCACCCAACTGATCACTGGATCTCACGTGTCATATTGAGATGAAGTTTTCCTTGAGCTTATCCCCGAACAAAATGACAATCAATTTCAATGTGTTTTGTACGTTCATGGAATACCGAATTAGAAGCTATGTGTAAGGCTGCTTTGTTATCGCACCACAGTCTTGCTGGTAACGAGGTTTTAAGTCCAACCTCCTTCAATAACTGATGTATCTAGACTATCTCACACACAAATTGTGTCATAGCTCTATATTCTGCCTCTGCACTTAATCGTGACACCACATTCTGCTTCTTGCTCCTCTAGGACACCAAATTTCTTCCCACAAAGACGCAGTACCCTGTGGTAGATCTTCTTGTGGCCTTTGAACCACTATGATCAGCATCACAAAAGCACTTAATATCTGTATGCCCATGATTTCTGTATAATATCCCACGACTTGGAAAGCCCTTCAAGTAATGAAGGACATGCTCTAAAGCTTCCCACTGTCTGATAGTAGGCGAGACCATAAATTGGCTAAGTACACTGACTGGATAGGTGATATCAGGACGTGTCACAGTAAGATAATTCAATTTTCCAATCAGTTTGCGATACCTCTCAGGATTTTCAAACGGCTTGCTCTTAGCAGCGTCAACGGGATTCTCAAATGGTATGCTTCCATCAACATCAAGTAGTGGATTATAAATCATAGGAAAACTGTTTGGTGCAGCTCCTAACTTTCCAATTTCCTTTAACAGGTCAAGAACATACTTCCTCTGAGTGAATAAGATTCCTTTCTTACTTCTCAAAACCTCAATTCCGAGAAAGTACTTTAACGGGCCCAAATCTTTGGTTTGGAAGTGAGAATTAAGAAAGGACTTAAGTGATGAGATCCCCGATATATTACTCCCTGTAATCACAATGTCATCGACATACACAGCCAATAGAATTATGCCAGTGTCTGTTCTCTGATAGAAGACAGAGTGATCACACTTACTTTAATACATGCCAAACTTCTGCACAACAGTACTGAACCTGTCAAACCATGCACGGGGACTCTACTTCAGGCCATATAAGGATCTCTTGAGGCGACATACTTCCCACGCTCCCCCTAAGCAATAAAGCCTAGTGGTTGCTCCATATAACTTCTTCAAGGAGATCACCATGTAAAAAGGCATTTTTGATATCCAATTAATGGAGATCCTAGCCATAGGTCACTGCCATGGAGATGAAAAGGCGAATAGAGGAAAGTTTCGCAACAGGGAGAAAGTTTCAGAGTAATCAACGCCATAGGTCTGAGCATAGTCTTTAGCAACCAAGCGAGTTTTAAGACGGTCAAGGGTACCATCAGCTCAAGTTTTAGGGGTTAAGACCCACTTACACACAATAGCCTTCTTCCTTGCCGGTAGATCCACTAAGGTCCAAGTGCCAACCCGATCAAGGGCCGCCATCTCCTCTTCCATAGCAGCACGCCAACCTGGGTGGGCTAAAGCTTCATATAGGGTCTTAGGGACGAAAATAGGATCTAAAGCAGAGACAAAGGCACGAGAGGTAGGGGAAAGGTGGGTATAAGAAACAAATGAGGAAATAGGATAGGCGCAAGTGCGTTTACCTTTGCGAAGAGCAATGGGCAAGTCAAGTGAAGGGTCAGGATCAGGAACAGGAGGTGTCTCGGAGTTGGAGATAGATGTAGGCTCAGGATGAGATATGCTCAACACAGGATCTGATGACAAAGCAGACAATGGAGGGCCGAAATCTGGAGTGGTAACACTGGTCTTCTTGGAACATCTAGTGTAGACACGAGACAGGGGTGGTGGCATAGGTGCCGAAGCTGGAGCTGGAGCCGGAGGTGGTGAAGTGGGTGTCGGGAGAGCAGGATACACTAGAAGGTCATCATCGTCCACAGATGGAGGAGGGACAGGTGAAGCAGACAAAGAAAAGTATGGAATCGATTCCTGAAAAGTGACATCTGCAGAAACCAGGTAGCGATTAAGAGTAGGAGAGAAACACCAATAGCCCTTTTGAACCCGAGAGTATCCTAGAAAGACACACTTAAGAGATTTTGGATCTAATTTGGAGACAGATGGTCGTACATCTCGGACAAAACAAACACAACCGAAGATCCTGGGATCAACAGGAAACAGAGGTTTGGTAGGGAAAAGAGTAGTATATGGAATGTTACCATCAAGAACTGAAGAGGGCATGCGGTTAATGAGGAAGCAAGCAGTAGAGACAGCATCAGCCCAGAAAGTTTTGGGAACCTTCATCTGAAACAGAAGTGCACATGCCACCTTTAGTAAGTGGTGATTTTTACGTTCCGCAACACCATTTTGAGATGGTGTATCAATACAAGAAGATTGATGAAGGACACCATTTTGAAGCATATAGGATTGAAACGTGGTAGAAAAATATTCTTTAGCGTTATCACTTCATAAGGTGCGAACAGAAGTATGAAATTGAGTTTTAACTTCCGCAAAAAAGGCACAAAAATGGGAAAATAATTCAGAACAACTTTTCATTAAATATAACCAAGTTGTACAGGAATAATCATCAACAAATGTAACAAAATATTTGAAACCTGCTATTGACTCAACAGGACACGGACGCCAAACATCAGAATGAACTAGCTCAAAAGGGGATGAAGCCCATTTATTGCCTCGAGAAACTAAAGGAAGATGATGATGTTTGGCAAACTGACATGTAAGAACCCTTAACCTTAAAAACATTATAACTCATCATAAAACCACTACTATGGTAGAAAAGGAAATCTGTTAAAATGAGCTACCATAGTAGAACGAAAATTTCATACTTTCAGAAATTGATTTTTAAACTCGGGTCAACCCATAATCCATTGCATGCAACTGAAATCATTCATTCATATATACTGGGCCTCCGAGCCTCCGGCCTGGGTAACAAAACACATCTACAACAGCCCATATAAAATAACTTCCAACAGCGTAAATCAAAGTTCTACCAACAATAGAAAAGGCCTCCGGCCCACTAAAACGAGGAGATAACATATTCTCCCATTTACAATAAGATCAACAATCAAAATATCACAAAAGACCCTAACTGTGGCAATATACAACTAATCATACATAAACAAAGGCTAGAGGCCTAAAGCTAACCAAGCTCAAGCCTTTGCGTCTCTTCTCGAAGGCGCACGCCTAGAAACTTCACCTGAAAACATTGTAAACCACGGGGTGAGACAAAGTCCCAGTAACCAACCTTTCCAATACTAGGTACTACTAAATAGGTGCTCGTGAGGTGTCAAGTGGGACAGTCCACAATAATATAATAATTGATAGCCACAACAATTAATGCAGGTGCAATGATGCAATCCCATCAACCATATCCCTCACTTTGGGGGATTTTCAAGAGCCGAACCCGGCCTATCCCTCATTATGGGGAACGTAAGGAGCCATAAAAGGCCTATCCCTCACTCTGGGGGACGTAGAGAGCCAAAAAGGCCTATCCCTCACTATGGGGGACGTACTGAGCCAACCATCATGCATTAATGGAGGCCTTACCACGTGGTAGTAACAGACAAACTCTCACCAACTCCCAATTAATGCATCATGCTCAAATCATAATCAAATAGTAATTGAACATCTCATAAGTAACTTCATTCAGTGGTATATCCTTCACAATTTCAAGATTTCATTCATCATCAATCAAAACCCCACAAGACGGTTTTCTCTTTTTATATACAACATATAGTTTGAACACAATTACTACTTGGAGCACAAAACACAAATCTACTCACAATACCACAGAAGCAAGTACTAAGGATTGGAAAGTGGTTACCTCTCGCCTGAGCAAGGAATAACAAACCGACAATGTGGCCCCGTGCACCACCACGACTCACAACCGGTCTACACAAGCACACAAACACACAACCATCATATATTAGCTTTCAAACTAATAATGTGGCCAAAACAACACTTGGGGACACAAAATTCCTATCTCCCATCAAAACTCTACCCGACTCGAAGGGTATATCTATCAAGGCAACACTCCAAAGTCATACCAATCCATGAAAACCTTAATTCCTTTCCAAACATCAATTAAATTTCATAACCTCAAGGACCCACTATAAGAATTCTACACCCAAACATCTATTTTGAACAATTGGAGTTCTAACAACAATCTAAACCGATCAAACATCCAATTTAACCCTCCTTAACATAACCCAAATCACAAAACTCAGAATCAACCTCTACATTGTCATCCTCAATCCCAAATCACCTATCTCCATAAATCCTAACTCCAAAAATTCAAGATTCTTTAAATCCAAGGAAACTACACCGATTAAATACTTAAACTAACCCAAAGCAATCAATTAAACTCAAAACAATCGGTCAAAAACCTAAGTTCCATCACAACCTAG